TCTTACATGAAATGTTAAATGTAGTATCTACTACATGGGATAGTTATTTAAATTAAATCATGTAAATTATGGGAAGAGATAAACACTGGGGCTAAATTACATAAAAAATTTGTAATATATAAAAACAATAAATACTTTTTGAAGTAAAATTATTTCAAGAAAATGTATTGCTTCATAAATGTCTTTTTACTAACATGGAATAGTATAACAAATGGAAATAAATTTGAAACATGAGATTCAGTGCTCATTATACAAGTTAATCTTCTGACCACTTGCTGTAAATCTGTGCTTCTTTGGTGGGGTTTTTCTGTAGCCCACATAATCAAACCTCTGGTTTCAGGACCCCACAGTGGCTTCCCTGAACTATACTTGTAAATATATACAAGTATATTACAGGAGCTGGAAAAGTTTGTTTCCTAATGCAGGGAGTGGGAATTCAGGGCATTTTGTGGGAACAGATATTTCTTTGTAATCCACTTACTCTTTAACCCATGACACCATTTTTTCTTCTCCCTATTTTGTATCACCCTCTTCACCATCCATTTTTTTATTGAAACATAATTGATTATACATGTTTGTGGGGTACAGAGTTGAATATTAACACCTGTGTACAATATGTGATAATCAAGTCATGATAATTAGCATATTCATATTTATGAAACATAAGCATTCTTTTTGTCCATTAACTAATTTCTTGACAACCCCAGCCCCTTTTTCTCTGACACCTCTGGTGTGTCTGAGGCACCACAGCCTTGTTTGTATCTGGTTACTGAATATGAGAAGGGTTAATTTGCTATTCTCATAGGCAAACCAAAATTTAACTTTATTACAACATCCGGGACATTTTTGATTAGCAAAAGAAGGAAAACATTAGGGAATAATACCCTCTAGGATGCTAATGTCTTCCATCATTACGCATTAACATATTCCCTCTGGAATGTAGAAAGGGGTTTTTATAAAAGTATTCTTTGGGAAGGCTGCTTTCAAAAAGGGTTGAAAAGTTTTGACACTAATTTAGAAGGTCTACTAACAGGTAAGTGACATTATTCCTATTTTTTGAGCTCAGAGAGTCATCATCACAGGTTGATCCAATATAATTTTTTAATATATTTACATATGGTGTGACTATACTATTCCCACATTCTCTGAGAAAGGAATAGAAGAATATGAATAACTCAGAGTTTTTAAAGGTTTACTGTTAGTGTAGAAAATAAATTGAATGAAATACAAGCTTTGGTGTAAAACAATCTTTTGAAGTCAACAAATATTTATGAGCACTAGGTACATGAAAAGCCATCATTGTTGTAGGGGGAGAAGAGTGCATTTCATGTCCTAAGTTCAGTACAGTTTCTTGATATGAAAGAGTTAATAGTAGCTCACAATTATTATTTTTTTAGGGTAGCTGGGCAAGATAAGTCCCCACTGAGACCTATAGGTACTAGAAATTCAGAAGAGGTTATTCCTGATAAACAATTATAGAAAAGGTTAATGCAGAACAGTGACCTTGATAAAGCTCCTGTAGAATGCCAGCATTTCCATCTCCAAGTCACAGATTTGAATAGAATATTGTATATCACAGTATAGAATAATTATTTCTGGTATGTTTCTTAAATGTTGTCGTAGAAGTAATTTGCAATTCATGCATATCTACAATTTAGTTTGAAAAGTTGAATGACTATGCCTCAGAGAATGTTCAGAGCAAATATGAAAATGAGGAGGCTAAACACTAAATATTGAAGATAATAGATAATATAGCATAAATGTGGAGTTGTGTTGCTGAAAATATTTTGGGTAAAAATCTCTTTTCCTCAATATTTGTGTCTACCTGACCTTCTTCCACTTGTCACCTTACTGTCCTTGCTCCTCCACAATACTGCTGTTCTCTGTCTAGTAAGGTTTTGGAAGAGGAATAATTAAGTATTAATTTTATGACATTTGGGACAAAAAGATATAGGAAGCATAGATAATGGGTGCTGAAGTTTTTGATGACCTTTTGGTCTTCAGGCCAGGTTGTTTTCCAGAGCATCTCCTGACCAGATAGAAAGAATCATGGGATTCAGTTACACAGGTGAGAAGCTGAAGGTGTATAGATTAAATCACTCTTTAATGAGGGCTTTTGGGACACAAAAGAGCTTAGAACAACCTGTTTTCCTTCCCATAGAGAATGGTAAATTCTATGTAGAAATGAAGTGAGTAAAGAGATTCTCTGAAAGACAGAAGTCTAGTGTCACTGATTTAGGGAGGGTTGGGGAGTTTAAGAGAGAGTGCTTGAGGAAAGCAATGCTTCTGCATCCTCTGCAACGCAACACAGAATCATAGAAGGAGCAGCCTATTACTCTGTATTCCACCCTCATCTAGCCTTCTCTTTTTAATTGCTTTTCTTTCAGTTCTTCAGTGTTAACTCCAGTGCTGACACTTCTCTATTTACTATTGTTTTGACCAGTGTAGCCATTCTGAAGTTGGTTAATCTTGAAGAGTTGAGATAAGTACAGTCATTATTAGAAGATGTGCTATATTACTGGTGCTGTCTTGTCTCTTGTCCACTGTAACCCATTTTTGTGTCTGATTCCTTTGAGAACCCGATGAAACATTTTAACACGACTCTGAAAAAACAGTGGACATAGCCATACACAAAGACATACACAATACCGGGCATTAGCATCAGGAGGATATAAAGATTGTTAAGGACCCCCGTGCATTCTTTAATAGCAAAGCATTCATGTAAAGACAACAACAAATTCTTAAGATGAACATTTTATGGGATTTCTAATATTCTTATTCCAGGATGGAAGCTAAAATGAGCACACACACAATTGTACTTAAGCAATTATATGTAATATTATAAGAAGGGATGTAAGGAAATCTCTTAGGATGTAGCAGAGATAATTTCCTTTACCACAGGACAGCCACTGAAGGCATCTTCGAGGAGGTTTTTCCACAGCCGGGTTTTGAAGTTTCAAGATGGTTGAAGAAATGGAAAGGATTTCCGGAAAAGAACACAGTTAATGACCTTTGATTAAACTATTGATTAAATATTTGATAAGGACTTAACAGTTACTACCAAGTTAATTAAAATGTATGTGTTTCTGATTATTAATTTATCATAAAACTCTATGTCCAAATGTTTGAAGTAAATAAGCTTGTTCTAGATCTGGATAGTCTAATGGGATTGCCAATATGCAGACCAAAAGCTATACACTCAAAGGAGTAGGCAAGATCATGGGTCATTGGTTGTGATAATGATGTTTACATTATCATGCACCCGAAGCTTCTAAAACCATATTTCAAGTAGAAATATTTCATGATGGATCACTGTTGGAAATGAATAAAGGAAAGATTGAGTTTATTGTGATGATTAAGATACTCAATTCTGTTATAGTTAATTCATGCAAAAGATTAAAGAATCCAAAGATAATTTTTAAAAAGTTCTTGGCACCTGAAAGTGAGTAACTTTATAAATATTTCCAAAGAGTATTTTTTGATTAAGAGTAAGATAAGGTAGATTTCAGAAGATTAAGATTAAGAAGAAAATTTACCAAGGCAGGGCAAGAAATTTACATAAGGGGCATTTTGTGTCACTACTGTCTATCATATTCTGTGCTTAGGCGAACTCACAACTTTCAACACAATGTATTGAAGGTGTGGATGGGACTGGAGATGAACACAATAGGCTAAGTACATTTTCCAGATTATATTTAAATAAATTACATGTTAGTTTATACACATACATTTACTTGCATATGTGTCCCTTCAATGTCATCTTGATGAGAAAGATCTAGAGAAAAGTTATAGTTCTTAAAAGTGAAGCCCTTGATACTATTTTTTTCTAAATTTAAGAAAATACATCTGTCCTGAAAGAAGTTACATTTTAAAGTTGAATAAATGTTTACTTTCAAGGACGGAAAGCAAATTGAATAAAGAAGCCAGTTACTGATTACCTACTATTCCTCTTCTCTAAAAGCACATCTTCCTCCCTCTTCTGAATCTCTGCTCTGTTCTGAGAACGTGGGGTTTCCAGATAACCGGATAATAAAAACTATGCTAAGGATTGCAACCATAATCTGGTCCTATACCAACTGCCTGGTAATATCTCTCCAAACCATCCAGTTACAAAATGATTAAATTAAAAACCTGAATCTTGAAAACACAAACAATTGTGTAATAATACCCCATCCTCATTTCATTTAAATGTAACCTCATGGACTGTGAATGCTGTAAGAGGTGCTTTTAATAAGTTAGGAGAAGAAAATTTGTAATGGGAATATTTGAGATATTACCATCTATCACAGAACATTCCCTTTCGTTCATTAGCATATATCAAGTACTTCTGTTCATACGGCACTTCACAGGTGCAGCAGATTACTTAGAGGCTATTAATGTTTCACTTTTCCTCTTTTCACGTTGGAATATCTGTGAGAACTTGTGCAAAAAAGTGGAGCATGTTATTGAATGATAAATAATATATATCTAAATAAAATGTATAATGGATATAAAATATATGAAATATGCATAAATAAGACTTTCTCTACAGGGTGATGGCATTGGTGTGTGACTTTATATTTACATCATGAACCTCTGAGTGCAGTCAAATACATACTAAATGTTCAGTTGTACACAATGTAAAACACATACCCTGATATTTATTAAATATTAAAACTTGAAGCTAATATTACAATAGATGAATACTTCCTAACTTTACATTCATTGAATTGGCAAAATTAATCAGAATATGACAAAACTAACAAGGGCTTGTATTGCGAGAATGCTATAGGAAAGTATCACATTTATAAGTGTATTCAAGACTCATAATCACCCTATGAGGTTTTCATTAAAATTGAGGAACAAGTGTTTAATTAACTTATTAAGAAACTACACACAGAAAGCCCAGATGAGAAATATTTATTTTGCTAAAATATCTCACAACACCACATAGCACATCATAAATTTTTTGTTTTTGCAGATAAACCACTTCACACTCACTCCTCCTCATTCATGAAATCATGCACCTGAATAATAATGTGACTGAGTTTATTCTACTGGGGTTGACACAGGATCCTGTTAGGAAGAAAATAGTGTTTGCCACTTTCTTGTTTTTCTACTTGGGGACGTTGTTTGGTAACTTGCTGATTATTGTAACCATCAAGACCAGTCAGGCACTTCAGAGTCCCATGTACTTCTTCCTTTTTTACTTGTCCTTATCGGACACCTTCTTCTCTACCTCCACAGCCCCTAGAATGATTGGGGATGCCCTTTTGAGGAAGACCACAATCTCTTTCATTGAGTGCATGATCCAACTCTTTTCATCCCATTTCTTTGGCTGCCTGGAGATCTTCATCCTTATCCTCATGGCTGTTGACCGCTATGTGGCCATCTGTAAACCCCTGCACTACATGACCATCATGAGCCACCGGGTCTGCGGTTTGTTGGTGGCCATGGCTTGGATGGGGTCCTGTGTGCATTCTTCCACTCAAACTTTTCTTCTCTTGAGTTTGCCTTTCTGTGGTCCCAATGTGATGGATCACTATTTCTGTGACTTGCAGCCCTTGTTGAAACTTGCCTGTTCAGACACTTATGTGATCAACCTACTCCTGGTTTCCAATAGTGGTGCCATTTGCACAGTGAGTTTTGTCATGCTGATGTTCTCCTATGTCGTCATCTTGCATTCCCTGAGGAACCACAGTGCTGAAGGGAGGAGGAAAGCCCTGTCCACCTGCATCTCCCACATCATCGTGGTCATCTTGTTCTTTGGTCCATGCATATTTATATACACATGTCCTGCAACCACCTTTCCCATGGATAAGATGATAGCTGTTTTTTATACAATTGGAACACCTTTGCTCAACCCTCTGATTTATACACTGAGGAATGCAGAAGTGAAAAATGCCATGAGGAAGTTATGGAGCAAGAAATTGATCTCAGATGATGAAAGATGAACGGAGGTTTAAAATCTCTTCACACTTTGGATTGACCTAGAAGAAATCAATATGAATATTTTGTTTTTATTGTCGATAAGATGTAATTGTATCTGCGGAATGATATGAGTTCCTTCATGAAAAGAGACAATGTGAACACATACACTGGTTAATGTTGAGTCATCGTTATGTAGAGGAAGAGACAGCACTAGTTACAAACAGGTGTGTCTGGCCCATTACCTTACATGCTGTTCACTGAGGTGTGGCTGCCTCTCTTGCTTGCTTAGTGTCTCTATGGTTTTGGTCTGTTGTTTTCCTGCCCTTATCCATGTTGACTTCTGTAGCTGTTGGCTAGTAGTTACCCATGTGTACACGCATAGCTTATAATTACAGCACACAGTTGTTCCCTCTTCCAAACATTTTCCTTTATTAAACTCTTTTGTCTCATCATGTCTTACCATCAACTTATTTCTTCTTCCCGACTTAGCAGAAAGTACCAGATTCAAATGATTGCAGATGCTTCATGTTGTAAGTGGTAGTATATATGACAGTACTTCAAAAGTTCATGGAAAAATAGAATTAAGAAATAATATGAAATTTTTATGAAGTTTTTGAAGTACCTTTGTATAATCTAGGTAAGCTGTTTTCCAATCCATTGCGTTATACTCATAATATCTTACCACGTGTTTACCTAGATCCCTCTAGAACAGTGGCAAAACACATAGAAAAATTCACCCTTCTGAAAGTTTCCTTTAACTTAGGAAGGCTCTCACTGCTGGCATTTTAGTCATATCATTATTGTTTGTAAAATGTAGTTTTTGATCTAACTTAAAATCCACTATTTTGATCCCCTCTAAATTTGGGGGAGTATTAAGGTTTCTTTTGAATTGTAACAATTATACTATTGTTTATAATTTAGAGCTATTATGATTATAGCATAGAAAGCTTACATTAAGGTAGAGATATTTATATGGACTAAAAATAAAGAGTGCAATCAATTGATAGCAGGAAATTTGAAAATACTAACAGATTCAACAAAGCATGTGATAAACCAGAGGGACATTTTTAGTCCTTGAAACAGAAAGTGACTTTGTAGCTATGAATTATTTCAGTGAGTTTTTTCTATAATCCAGAAGAGAGTAATTTGAACAGAGAAGGTGGAGATGTTTAGATGAAAGGTGTATTTCTGCAGTGGAAATGGGTATCACCTTTTGTCATTATCCATTAACAGTATGGTCTCTAGACACATAACAACAAAAATTTTTTCTAAACTCAATTTGTTTTCTTATTTCTTTCATATAGAAAATTAAGCATGAATATTTTTGTTGATTTGGGACTTCCATTTGTATTTATAAGTTACTAAATTATATTAAGATTATTAAATTTATATCAATTTTATTCTATCAGGAGCATCAGAATTTCTTTAGCTTTAGAAAATGATCCTCTTTTCTTTTGAGAGAATAGAAAGTTGTGTATCGCACAGCAAACATAGTGATATGTATAAATCACTTTTTTTCAGATTCTGTGAATTTCAATGTGAAATCCATCTGAAGAAGTTTATCACTGCAGAGCAAGGGTGGTTTGGTTTTGCTATTGCAAGGTTGCCCAGCAGCAAACCTTCCAACTGGTAGAGTTTTACCTGGTGTTGTCTTTTATCTCACCACAAAGACAATATGAAAAGGGATATATGTTGAACTTAGGTGCTGTCCAGTTACACTCTGTCTAATAAATCTTCTGGACATGAATTCAATATAGAGTTCCCATGGCTACTGTCAGCACATCTCATGCAGACAGAGATTGTGCTCTCAACCAGGGCCAGTTTTTTTCCTGATAAAAATGCAGAGACTGGATGTGCATCCTTACCATGTTTTTGGTTGAAGCCAGTATTTTGATAGGAAAAGAGTTTGGATCTGAGAGCCAAAATAGGAACATTTGTGTGGAGGAAAAGTGAGAAGAGTGACTCCATAAATTATATTGCATCCTCTAGGTTGTCACACAGGGATGCAGTTGTCCCTTGCCTAAACACCATGCTACTACCTCATTGGAAGAATTTGCCATGCAATAATATTGGTTTTCTTCATGAGCTTCCTCCATACTCCCACAGCTAACCAGAGACGAGTCTCAGGAAAGTCCAAGCAAGAAAGTCCAATCTGGCTCTAGGAGGAAATGACCCACATGAGGATACAGCAGAACTTGGCTTAGATACACAGGTGTAAACCAGAAGTGGATCTTGAAGGTGTTAGCACAGGGTGGCAGAATATTATAAGTCTAGAAACTGAAGTTTTTTTTTTTTTAATTTACTTTTCAAAATACATTGCAGTTGATTTTCATGTCCCTTTACCCATTCCTTTCCCCCCCCTCCCCTCCCCACATCGCATTTGTTCACTTGACTTAAATAGTTCAAGGAATTTTTGTGGTTATTCTGTCTTCTTCCTCCCACCCACCCTTTATTTGTTTGTGTGTCTATTTATTTATTTACTTTTAGCTCCATAAATAAGTGAGAACGTGTGGTATTTCTCTTTTTGTGCCTGACTTGTTTCACTTAATATAATTTTCTCTAAGTCCATCCATGTTGCTGCATAAAAATACACACACGGATCAATGGAATAGAATAGAGAACCCAGAAATCAATCCATATGCCTACAGCCATCTGATCTTTGACAAAGGCACCAAGTCTACACACTGGGGAAGAGACTGCTTCTTCAACAAGAGGTGCTGGGAAAACTGGATACTCATATATAGGAGACTGAAATTAGACCCGTACCTTTCACCATATACCAAAATCAACTCAAAATGGATTAAAGAATTAAATATACATCATGAAAAAATAAAACTCCATAAAGAAAACATAGGGGAAACACTCCAGGAAGTAGGAGTGGGTACAGACTTCATGAATAGGACCCAAAGAGCACAGGCAACTAAAGGTAAAGTAAACAAAAGGGATTATATCAAACTAAAAATTTTCTGCACAGCAAAAGAAACAATCAACAGATTTAAAAAACAACAGAGTGGGAGAAAATATTTTCAAAATATACATCTGAAGGTTTTTTTGACATCAGGCACTCACCCAAGGCTTCATATTTGATGTTATGATTGAATTCTGTCACCCAAGGAAAGGATATGTTGGAATCCTGATCCCCAATAACTCAGAATGTGAACTTATTTAGAAGTAGGGTCTTTACAGAGTTAATGAAGTGAAATTCATTAGGGTGGGCCCTAATCTAATATGACTGGTGTCCTAACGTGAAGGATAATTTAGACATAGTGAATACACACACACATACACACATGCACAGAATGTCATATGAAGATGAGGGCTGAGGTCAGGGTGATACATCTACAATAATAAAACACCAGAGATTACCAGTCAGTGTCAGGAGCTATGAGAGAGGCATGAAACAGATTCTCCTCATACCTCTCAGGAGGAACCAAACCTGCTGACACCTTGATCTCAAACTTTTAGTCTCCAGAAATCTGAGACAGTACATTCCCACTGTTTAAGCCCCTTAGTCTATGATTCTTTGAAAGGGCAGTCCTAGGAAACTTAACACAAATATTCTAAGAACATCTGGAGCTGGATCTTTAAAGCATATAGGAGATGGTAGCTGTATTAGTTTTCTATTGCTTCTGTAACAAGTTAACACCAACTTATTGGCTTTAAACCACACAGATTAATTATCTTACAGTTTTATAGGTAGAAGTCTTACACAGGTCTCATTGTGCTAAAATCAAGGTGTTTAAGCAGGGCTGTGTTCTTTCTAGAAGCTGTAGGAGAGGATCTATTTCTTTGTCATTTTGCAGTTACAAGAAGCTGCCCACATTTCATGGCTTGTGGCCTCTTAATCCCATCTTGAAAGTGGGCATGTTGCATCCATTTTGCTGTGGCTTTTTTTTTTTTTTTAATTTTATTTTGTCGATATACAATGTGGTTGATTATTGTGGCCCATTACTGAAACCTCACTCCCACCTCCCTCTCCCCCTCCGACTCAACAATGTCCTTTCTGTTCACTTGTCATGTCAGCTTCAAGGAATTGTAATTGTTTTGTCTTCTTCCCCCCCTCCGTTTTTTTTTTTTTTTTTTTTTTTTTTTTTTTTTGGGGG